ATATGATTAATTTGTAAAAATGATGCTTTGGGAGAGAGAACGAAATTATAGAAAAGTGTCTGTAAGTTAGGTTTTTGGAAAAATTGGACTATTTCTGTTTGAGGAATTAATGATACCATTAGATTCTGTATGTGTTGAGGATTAGAAATATATATTTAATTTGTAAGAATGATGATCTGGGAGAGAGAACAAAATTGTAGAAAAGTGCCTGTGAGTTAGGTTTTAGAACAATTGGGGGTTTTACTATTTATGTTAAAATTATATTAAATTGATAATTCCATTAATTATTATATTAATTTATGAATGTTATTGCTATATTACTTGATAAAAATTGATGATTTAGATGTGAATTGCTTGAGGTGTATGAAACCCATTATTTTGGACTTATCTGATGTGTGTATGGAATTGAACTATGAGATGTTGTGTGGAATGTGAATGAGATGTGATTGTGGTTCTTCACACCTATGACCAGGGGTGAGCACGGCCTATATCAGTGGTGAGCACGGCCTTGGATTGTTAAATGGGTAGTGTGACCTTGGCATAGTGTGAAGTGCAAGATTTGTAATGATTGGTGTGATTGAGAATTGTAACGTGATGACGATTCACATTGGTTGAGCATCCACAAGCAAATGGCCAAGCCGAAGCGGCTAACAAAGTCATCCTCTCGGAATTGAAAAAACGCTTAGGGACAGCCAAGGGTGCATGGGCCGATGAGCTTCCCGAAGCATTATGGGCGTATCGTTGGACCCCTCAATCCACCACACAGGAGACCCCCTTCCGATTGACATATGGTGCCGATGCGATGATACCTGTAGAAGTCGGAGAACCCTCTTTCCGCTGAACACATTTCAATGAGCTCTCCAAAGATACATCCTTACGGGTAGAAGTTGATTTGGTCGATGAGGTACGAGCTAAGGCTCAGATCATTGCCGAAGCATGCAAGCTGAGAATGACTCGAAGATTCAATTCCAATCTCATTAGAAGAAGTTTCAAAGAGGGAGACTTGGTGTGGAGAGTGCAAGGACCGGCAAGACGCAATCCGAAAGAAGGCAAACTGGCGGCGAATTGGGATGGCCCGTTTCGAGTCCGTCACAGCCTCGACAACGGTGCATATAAGCTTGAAGAGCTCTCGGGAAAAGTCATCCCCATAACATGGAACGCGTCCCATTTGAAGGCATATTATAGTTGAAAACCCAATTTTAGTTGTCTAGGCCATTATTGGATTTTTAAAAACCTTTTCATTTTCCAATGCTTTGAGTAAAATATTGGTGGCGACTCCATGAACCTATTTTCAAAACCATTAATTAGGGATTAGTCTGATCTCTGGACATTCCTTAATTGATGAGCTTTTCAAAAGGATGTTTAAACCATAGGTCGCAAGATCATAATCTTTCGAGTTACGACAGATGGCGACTCCATTGGGGTAGTTTAAAGAGGGTCAGGTCCAAATAAATGATGAAATTAGCATAATAAGAATAATAGTTTAAATATCTTATCCCCTTAGTTTGTTTGTTTTACTTATTTGGCTTTAATATCTGTTTGTTTGTTTAAATTCCACACTTGTTTGAATAAAAATTGTACACAAACCTTTGGACACAACAGTTCCCCCTACACCCGGGGGCATGAGGGTATTAAACATAGGGAGTGGTTGACGTACGACCGGCTGAAGTTTGGCCTTGGAGCCTGCGAGCCTTGTCGAAAATCACACTCAAGGTGATTACTAGTTACTCTAGCCCGAAATACTACGACAGACCTTAGAGTTTGTCAAGTGACGACGACAGAGGTACTAGGTCCCTATAATGGGGGCACCTTGGGAGCCTTAAAGATGAGTGAGTTTAGAACCTTCCTATACAACGCACTATTCTTAACAAGGACTCCAGACCATGGATTTATGTCGCTTGTGGACTCTTTTTTTTGAGCATATGTTTATTGCATTTTGTTTATTTAAACTGTTTGTTTATTTTTATAATTCCACTAGGGTAAAGAAAAAAATACAAAAATAAAAATTTATTATCATGAGGGAAAACATAGTGTGAAAATAAAATCTGTGAGAAGCATATCTTTAAAAAGGGGGGCATCATGCATTTTCTAAAATAAAAAAATCAAAAAATAAAAAGAAAGAGAGACATGCATATCATGTATAGGATCACCAAAGGAATTTCTATCAAAGATGAGAAATCAGTGTGACCTTTGTCACATCATAAAATATTATGAAGAGGAACACCGATAACTCACCTCTTATCAAGGATGAGTCACTAAATCTCTGCTAAAAAACCTCCTTCATGCATTATCATTTAAATAGCTTGATAGGAAATTATCATGATCCCTCGAAGGTGGCTTTTCAACACTCCGTACTCACAAGAGCTCAAAAGATAAAATCTATGAGAACCCCATCGCAAAGAAAGCAGTAACTGAGATTGGAATTGAATCTTCGAGTCATTCTCAGCTTGCATGCTTCGGCAATGATCTGAGCCTTAGCTCGTACCTCATCGACCAAATCAACTTCTACCCGTAAGGATGTATCTTTGGAGAGCTCATTGAAATGTGTTCAGCGGAAAGAGGGTTCTCCGACTTCTACAGGTATCATCGCATCGGCACCATATGTCAATCGGAAGGGGGTCTCCTGTGTGGTGGATTGAGGGGTCCAACGATACGCCCATAATACTTCGGGAAGCTCATCGGCCCATGCACCCTTGGCTGTCCCTAAGCGTTTTTTCAATTCCGAGAGGATGACTTTGTTAGCCGCTTAGACGAAGCGTCAGCATCTCCTTCCGGCTGGGGGGCAGGTCCCGGCTCCGAGTCATCAGGATTCGCCCCCTCGAGCATCTCAGCAAAGGACATAAATGACCCTTGATAAAAATCCTGGGTCATGTCGACTTCAACGTCCTCATGAAATTGGCCGAAGTGCTTTGCCTGCCGAACATCATGTTTGAATCCAGCCTCGTGCTGAGCAACGATCTTCTCCTTAGCCTGTTCTTTTAGGCGATTGTATTTGGCTTGGGCGATCTCTGTTCAGCGGCGCTCTTCATTGACTGCCTTTTGTAGATCCAGGTGAAGAGTGTCATTCTCCCGCCTAACAGAATCCAGCTCGGCAGCCAACTCGCGATTTCTGGCCGCTGCTTGTTCGGTGACCGAAATAGCTTTGGCTGTGGCCTTATCGGCCTCTTCAAGACTTTGTTTCAGATGCATCACCTCGCCGACAGGCTCCATGGTTAGGTGATGAGCCAAGGCCAACGAACGCGCTTGCATCTCGCAGAAAAGTCTCCACTTGGTTCTCGTCTCCAAGCCGGCCAAGAACTCCTGCCCGAACGGCGACACAGCATCGGACCGAATCAGGGTATTGGCCGATACATCATCACTCAGAAAAGCCCGAGACATTAGTTGGGGCGGCACCACAATCACGGTCCGATTAGGTGATGCCTCTGGCACCGATTTAGCCTTCTTCGGATTCCTTGATTGTTCTTTAGAACCCTTCCTCTTCGTTCACTCCCGATCAACCTCTTTCCCCTTCCTCCCCTTCTTTTTTTTCCGTTCAGGTGAAGGAAGCTCTCGGTTATCTTGCTCACGTTGGGGAGTGCGTGCAACAGTCGAAGTACCAACACCCCCGACTTGCTTAACCTGCTTCACTCGAGCGGCCAACAAGTTGCGGATGTTAAGTTCGTCAGCTCCACTGGACACCATAATTCCTGCAAAAAGATAAAGTAAACATCAATAGAAATTTAGCCGATAGCCGAAAATAGGATGGATAACGTACCTATCAGGTCGTTCTCCCATAGGGGAGACTCAACCAAGTTAATTAGAGATCAGGTCGGCAAGCACCGAGGAAGGCGGAGTAACAGTTTCAAATCTTTCCGTTCTTTAGCTGAAAGTAGACTCTTCGGTACTACATCGTATGGCCGAGGGGCACGCGTCCAGTATAGAGGAAACAAGCTTCTGTTATCCTCACCAAAAAAGAAACGCCTCCCATTCGGACGAATGGTCACTCAAAAAAATCCCGCCTTGAAATTCTTATAGGAGGATGTAAAGCTATCCAACAATTGTCGTTCCCCTACTCGACTCAATGACAACCACTTGGCCAATATGGAGGGTCTGGACGAGTAGAAATAAAGAAAGAGGAGTGGGGAAGGCCTAATGTGAATACATCGGAACAAGTGCTTGAAACCCTGTAGTTGAGCCCAGCTGTTCGGATGTAATTGGGTTGGGGCAACATTGAGAACCCTCAACACTCCCATAGTAAACTCATCAAAAGGTAGTTTTACTTTGATAGCTTTGGTCTTGTTTTGATTCACTTCAATCCCTTTCTGGTGTATGACGAACCCCATAAATTCTCCCGCTGTAACACCAAAAGCACATTTTAGTGGATTCATTTTTAAACCATGTTTTCTCATTCTCTCGAAAGATAATTTTAAATGGCTTAGGTGATCCTCCTTTTGTTTCGACCCAATAATTATATCATCAATATATACTTGTACAAACTTACCAATTAAATCATGGAATATTAAATTCATTGCCCTCTGATAAGTGGCACCTGCGTTTTTTAATCCAAACGGCATCATCACCCATTCATAGACGCCTAAAGCACCTGGACATCGAAAAGCAGTTTTCGATACGTCATTAGCTACAATATAAATTTGGTTATATCCAGAATAACCATCGAGTAAACTCATAATTTCATTACCTGCAACAGCGTCTATCATAGTTTCAGCAATGGGCATAGGATATTCATCCTTGGGTGTTGCTGTGTTAAGATTTTGAGAGTCGATGCAAACTCTGAGTTTCCTATTCTTTTTTATAACAGGCACGACATTCGATATCCACTCAGCATATCTTGAAGTTCTGATGAATTTTGCTTTCAGTAATCTCTCGATTTCTTCTTTGATTTTCTCGATTACTTCAGGAGTGAATCTTCGAGGGCTTTGCTTGACAGGTTTCTTTCCTGGGATCATGGGTAGCGTATGCTCTACCAATCCTCGATCTAATCCTGGCATTTCATCGTAATCTCATGCAAAGCAATCTTTATATTCATGCAAAACTCGAATTATTTCCTCCTTCAATTCCCTTTGCAAGAGCTTGCTAATATAAGTCACTTTTCTGTTCTCAACAGTTCCCAAGTTAATTTCCTCGAGTGGATCTTCAGATTCTAATTTATGTTCCTCCTTTGTTGCTCTTTTGAATCCCAACGATGAATCATCGAAAATACAATCTAACTTGAGTTCTGACTCTTGCTCTTTACCATCTTTCAACTTTTCGACCTCCTGGTCCATTTTAATTTCTATTTTTTCTTTTTCTGTTTGTCTCGAGACGACCTGGTCTCCTCGTTTTTTGTCTATTTTTTCTTTTTCTTCATTCTTTTCGACTTCGAAATCTATATCCCCTTTCTTTTGTTTTTGTTTTTCTTCCTTCTTTTTGACCTTGAAATCTATTCCCTCTTTCTTTATTTTTTGTTTTTCTTCGCCCAAAGTAGCTGTGCTATTTTCATCAATCTCCACTTCATTTGTATGTACCTCCCTGTCTTGATCTTCTTCGGCCATGTTGGTCGTTCGATCGGCCATGTAGGCCGATATTCGAGCTAAGAAGCTCGAATAAGGATCTTCATCTTTCATTCCTCAATCGGAGCCAAATCTTTTTCGGATCGAATTACAAAACCTTTCTTCACATCCCAGCAGAAAGT